GAAGAATGAATTGTAAGATACAAAGCCCGACTTGTAGCCCAAGGTTTCTCGCAGAGACCTGGTATTGATTATGAGGAGACATACTCTCATGTGATGGATGCAATCACGTTTCGCTTCTTGATCAGTTTGAAAGTCTCAGAATGACTGGATATGCGTCTGATGGACGTGGTTATAGCTTATTTATATGAATCACTAGATAGTGACATATATATGAAAATCCCTAAAGGATTTAAAATGCCTGAAGCAAATAGCTTGAAACCACGTACCATGTATTCGATCAAGCTACAACAATCCTTGTACGGATTGAAACAATCCGGACGCATGTGGTACAATTGACTCATCGAGTATTTACTAAAAGAAGAATATGTGAATAATCAAGTTTGTCCATGCATTTTCATCAAGAAATCAAAATCTGGATTTACCATTATAGCTGTATATGTTGATGATCTAAATCTTGTGGGAACTCCTGAAGAGCTCATCACGACTGCTAACTAGTTAAAGAAAGAATTCGAAATGAAAGATCTTGGTAGAACAAAATTTTGTCTCGACCTGCAGATCAAACATTTACCAAGTGGAATTCTTATCTATCAGTCAACATACACTGAAAAAGTCCTGAAGCGCTTTTATATGGATGAAGCTCACCCCTTGAGTTCTCCAATGATTGTCCGATCACTTGATGTTAAGAAAGATCACTTTCATCCTCTAGAAGAAGGGGAAGAAGTTCTTGGTCCTAAAGTACCATATCTTAGTGCGATCGGTGCTTTAATGTACCTTGCAAATTATACCAGACCTGATATAGCATTTGCAGTCAACTTACTAGCACGGTATAGTTCTACACCAACTCGAAGACATTGGAATGGAGTCAAACACATTATGTGTTACCTTCGAGGAATGACTGATATGGGATTGTTTTATTCAAGACAATCAAAGCCCCAGTTGATCGGATATGTAGATGCAGGTTATCTTTTTGACCCTCACACAGCCCGATCATAAACAGGGTACTTGTTTACTTGTGGTGGTACTGTTATATCATGGCAATCTATGAAATAGACCATGACTGCAACTTCCTCAAATCACTCTAAGATACTCGCAATTCATGAAGCAGGTAAAGAGTGTGTTTGGTTGAAATCTGTTATACAACATATTCGAGAATCATGTGGACTCTCCTCAATCAAAGATAGTCCAACAATATTATATGAAGATAATACAACATGTATTGCACAGGTAAGAGGAGGATACATAAAAAGTGACAGAACCAAGCACATTTCACCAAAGTTCTTTTCCACACACGAGCTCCAGAAGAGCCGTGATGTCGATGTTCGGCAGATACGCTCTAGTGATAATCTAGCAGATTTATTCACTAAAATGCTTCCAACTACAACATTCAAGAAGTTAGTGGACAACATTGGAATGCGTCAACTAAAGGATCTTCAGGGTTGAACTAATGAGGGGGAGTAATTGATCAAAGAGGTATTAGCATACTGTACTATTTTTCCTTCGTCCAGGTTTTATCCCACTAGGTTTTCCTGGCAAGGTTTTAATGAGGCAGTTTTAATCTATGCAATACCATTTTCTGATACACAAGAATACTGCACTATTTTTCCTTCACTAAGGTTTTGTCCCACTGGGTTTTCCTTAGTAAGGTTTTAACGAGGCATATTCTTAGTGTGGTATTGTGGACCCCAAGGGGGGAGTGTTATATATGTGTATGGGGCCCACAATCTTTTTATGTCATCATTGATGACATTCATTTGCGTGAATGGGAAGCTCAGTTATATGCTTACATTGAAAGCCTTACTTTGACTTATAACAGAAGCCAAAAATCTGAGCATATATAAGGCAATTTACATGTATTGCTTTTGGTACAGAAAAACTTGAATATACTCTCTCTATCTCTTCCGTGTTCTCTCCCTCTCTGTTTCTCTCTGAATCTTACTCTATATATACACATATATATATTCACAACAAAATGCAGCTTTAGAGATTGCGAAAGTGTGTGGAGTGGGCACAGTGGCAGGTTCAGATCAGGGCCGGCTCGAGTCGCTAAGACCCGGTTAATAAGAAGTATCCAAAATTTTAAAAAAAAAAATTTATATTAAATTATATTATAATTATTTTATAATATTGTTATACTTTAAAAAAAATATATAAATATTTTATATTAGGTTTTAAAGATTTATAATTTAAAATAACTTTTTTTTTTTGTCTCTCCTCACTCGTATATTAGGTCCAAATATTTATATCCTAAAATAACTTATTTTTTCTCTTCTCTCTCTCTCCTCATTTATTTCAATAGTTATATCCTAAAATAAAATTTTAATTTTTTTTTTCTCTCTCTTTTCACTAATATAGAAATTTAATATTAGGCACAACAATTTGTATCATAAATTTTTTTTTTTTTTTTTCCTTCTTTCTTTCTCTCTCATTCCCGTTTTTGACACCAGCACTAAAAATATTTTTGGATAAGTTACACCAACAGTAAAATATTAAATATCTATTTAACGTTGTTGTTTGGGAAAATGGCGAAAACTTTCTATATTCTTTTTTATTTATTTTATTTTATGTTTTATTTCCTTCTTTTTAACAAGTCTTTTCCTCCCACTCTCATTACAAGTTTACAATTGGTATGAATACATTTTTATTCTATTGAAAAATTTGTAAAAGTATTGGATTTGGGCTTTCTAAATCAGCTTCAATGGTTCTTTCTCTTTAATTATTTTTTAATTTTATTAACTTTTGTTATTATAAATTTGTGTGTATATATATTTGTATATTTTGTTTTTGAATTGTGACTAATTTTTTTTATATTGTTGAAAAAATTACTTTTTTATTTTTTGCCTAAGCCCCAAATTAGACTGAGCCGCTCTTGCTTCATATCGCACTCTTTTTCATCAAAGAGAAGTTGATAACTTGCCGTGACGATATTACATGAGTATATCATATAACCATATATTGGTGTGTTTGAGCAGATTTGATTGTTCGATTAATCATTATTTTTTCAATGATTTTTTTTATTTTTATTTTTGAAGGGTGATTCAATGAAATTCAATAACTTTCTTATGTAGTTTATTTTTTAAAGATGTGAATTTCTATTTATTTTAATGGATTAATTGTCTGTTGGCAAATTCTATGGCACATGCTTAGTTTGCTTTTTGCTCGTGATTTTTGAGATATCTAAAATCGTGTCTTCAAAATTACGTGTATATTATTATTATTATTATTATTATTGTGTTGTTGTTGTTGTTTGTTGTTGTATGTAGGCATGAAATTTCAGTGCCAACAACTGTTATTTGATATTTCGATGCAACTCATGAGAGGTGCTTTCGGAGATTCATGGCTAGAGCTCTTTCACGCTGAAGTGTGGTTCAAAAATAAATTAACAAAAATAACTTTCTTTATTTAGGGAAAAGAAAAAAACAAAAATAATTTTTTTTTAAAAATTAATAATTAAAAATTTAACAAAACAATAATTATAAAAAACACAAACAAAAAAAATGAAATTTTGTTCTAGAGTTTATAAAAATTAATTTCTTATATAATTTTTATAGAAGCATACTAATAAAAATAAATAAATAAAAAAAAAAAGTGATTTTTGGGGCTCCAAAAATCCCTGATTCAGACTAGGGTTAAACACAAACCCAAAATTGATTTTGCCGAACTCAACATCTTAACTCACAAACTCAGAATCTTAACTCACTCCATTCTTTCTTTAGAATCCAACCCATTGAAGAAATCACAAATTTAAATAGAAAAAAAATTGATCTTGTCATCTCTAAACTTGTAGCTTCTTTCAATTGGATCAGATTGATACAAATTCAAGACTCAGATTGGGATTGGTAGGCGCTTGGGATTTGAAGGAAAATGGGAAAGCTAGGGTGAGGGGAATAGTGTGGATTCATATGGATCCTCCATAGGATAGACCGTGGATGGTGGAAGTGGTGGTCGCCGGCGGAGATAGAAGCAAGACCTCCGAAAGTGCCGGTTGTTTTCTCCTTATGTAATGAGTAATATATTGAACTGTATAGATTTTATATTATCTGTATAAATTTCGTGTTTTATTTATTTATTTATTTATTGTTATCTGTAAATTTCATGTTAATTTAGGTTGGTTAGTGTCCAAATAAAAATGACAAAGGGTCATTTTGGTATTTTACTTTTAATCGGTTGAATTTTAACATTTTTAACAGTAAGCTAATAGATGGGGGTGTTAGGAAAAACTTAACCAAACTTTAAGGAATTTTTAAGGTTTTTTTTTTTAATTTAATTTAATTTTTTATTATTGGTTTAATCTTTGAGAAATAAAGGCGAGGGCCCTGAAAGCATTTATCCTTTTTTTTTTTTTAATTTAATTTAATTTAATTTTTTATTATTAGTTCAATCTTTGAGTAATAAAGGCGAGGGCGCTGAAAGCATTTAACGTTTTTATTTTTTTATTTTTTTCGACTATTTCTTCCTTGCACTAAGTCCGATACTTAATGAAATGTTATTACGACGTATTAAATGAGAGTATGTAATAGAGTTTGATAGACTTAATAGAAGAACTTAATGTCAGTGAATGACCGTTTTGGTCTCAAATGATCTTTAGTTTGGGTTAAGACTCGGTAAGCTATTGAGACCCGCTAGTTCAGACTGTTACATAATGAAATCAAATACAATTTGGATTTAACTCCTCCTAATCAACTTAGATTAATTTCCTATTTTGGACTATTGAGGTTGAGGAGAGAAACAGAGAGAGAGAGAGTGAAGAAGACGGAACTACTAAAAAAAAAAAAAAAAACTTTTAAAAAACTAAAAAATAAAAACACAAGGGTGCTGTGGCAGTTGCGCGCCGGCCAGCATTGTCATAAGAAACCTCCAAATGTCAACCAACGCATGGAAGACAAATAAAGGTCAGCAAAAACATTAAGAACAACTTCTATATGCAAATCCTCATTGATTTGTGATTTTGTTTCTCATTAATTGTGACGGTTATCTTCACCGGCCTGGTTCTGAAAATGATTATGGGAGAAAGGTTCTTTAAACATTTCCATGTGTTGGTTGCTGTGGTTTTGGTAATATTGTGCATGGAAATGAAACCAGTTGTTGGATCATTCAGTACTTCAAGAGTTGGAGGTGATGCTAAAGTGATGTGCATGGAGACGGAGAGACAAGCTCTCCTTCAGTTTAAAGAAGGGCTCGTCGATGATTACGGCATTCTCTCTTCTTGGGGGAACACACAAGAAGAGAAGAAAGACTGCTGCAAATGGAGAGGAGTCGGATGTAGCAACATTACTGGTCACGTGATGGTGCTCAATCTTCATACCAAATTTGATGGCCAGTTTTTGAGAGGTAAGATTAGTCCTTCATTGCTTCAATTGCAACATTTGAAGCATTTGGACCTCAGTTACAATGATTTCGAAGGGAGCCGCATCCCTGAATTCATTGGTTCGTTTAGCAGATTACAATACCTCAATCTTAGAGACACCGGTTTTCTTGGCACCATTCCAAATCAGTTTGGCAATCTTTCTGAATTGCGTTATCTTGATTTGCGTTTTAATGATCTTCTGAGTGGAAAAAGTTTTAACTGGGTTTCCAATCTTTCTTCATTAAGATACCTTGACCTGAGCTACGTTAATCTTAGCGAAGCAATAGATTGGATGGAAGTGACCAATAAGCTCCCTCTCCTAACAGAATTGTACTTATTTGACTGTGGACTCCACAGCATCATTCCTCCCTCGCCTCCATTGATAAATTCTTCTGCGTCGACTCTTGCTGTCGTTAGTCTCTTGGGCAATTATCTGACTTCTTCAATATACAATTGGTTATTCAACTTCAATACCAGCCTTGCTGATGTAGACCTTGCTTATAACAATTTACAAGGTCCCATCCCTGATGCTTTCGGAAACTTGAATTCCCTTGCCATTCTTCGACTCTCCTACAATCAACTTGAAGGCGGGATTCCGAAATCCTTGGGGAACTCAAGTAGTATACGAGCATTATATTTGCATGGCAGTGAATTAACCGGACAGATTTCAGAGTCCGTTCAGATGTTGTCTGGAGGTGCACAGAAGTCACTAGAGATTTTAGATCTTGGTGACAATCCATTTGGTGGTCCATTGCCTGATAATATCTCAACATTTTCATCCTTGAGGGAATTGTATCTTGATAATAATCAATTGACTGGCTCTTTACCAGGAAGTTTGGGACAACTTGACACTCTTGTTACGCTAGACTTTTCTGGCAATCAAATTACAGGATCATTACCAAATCTCACCGCATTTTCTTCTTTGAAAGAGTTGCTACTTGCTAATAATCAGTTGAATGGAACACTACCCATGAGTATTGGACAATTTTCCATGCTCCACCGTCTTGATGTCTCTTCAAACTCATTGAAAGGTACAATCTCAGAAGCTCACTTCTCAAATCTCCAACTTACTGTACTCGGACTCATCTTTTCAGTGTCTTAACTTTAAAGTACAGTTTGGATTGGAATCCTACTTTTAAACTGCATATTTTAGGGTCCTCATCTTGCCGGTTGGGTCCACATTTCCCAAATTGTTGGCTTCAAACTCGAAATAATAAGCTGATGTTGGAATTTAAGATGTTTATTCCTTGTAGTTTTGAAATTTATAGATCTCCCGCATTTTCTTACCTAAATATATCTTACAACCAAATCATTGGCACGGCGCCAGTTTTGTTGAAAAATATTGTTTCTTACCATTTAATTGATTTCAACTGCAATCATTTTGCAGGTCCAATACCAGTATTTCTTCCCAACGCCACATTATTGGATTTATCGAGAAATAAGTTTCGCGGGTCAATTTCATTCTTATGCGTGGCTATCAATGACTACATCAGGTACATTGACCTCTCAAATAACCAATTATGGGGAAAACTTCCCGACTGTTGGATGCATATGAAAGAATTAGTCGTTCTTGATTTGGCCAACAATAATTTGTCCGGAAAGATTCCACAATCTTTGGGTTTCCTCACTCAAGTTCGGACCTTGCATCTACGAAATAATAATTTCATTGGGGAATTGCCTCCGCCTTTGAAGAACTGCAGAAACTTGATAAATTTTGATGTGGAAGAAAATAAATTATCAGGAAAAATACCAAAATGGATAGGAACACATCTGACGAGTTTAATTTTTCTTAGCCTGCGATTGAATAACTTCCATGGACACATACCTGTAAATATATGCAATCTAAACTTTATTCAAATCTTGGACCTCTCACATAACAATTTATCGGGAATTATACCGCGGTGCTTCAATAACTTTACTGCTTTAGTTTCGCGAAATAAATTAAGCGAAGACTTTGCTTATACTTATCTAGCTCCAGGTCAAGATGGTGCACATTATACTGCATATCTAGAGAATGCATTGTTGCTATGTAAAGGACAAGAGTCTGAATTCAAAAATACATTAGGACTGGTTGGAAGCATTGATCTTTCCAGCAACAATTTAGTTGGGAAAATACCTGAACAAATCTCAAGCCTTGCAGAATTAATTTCATTGAACCTATCGAGAAATTCTTTAACTGGACATGTTATTCAAAATATTAGTGAGTTGAAAATGTTAGAATCTCTAGACTTATCTAGAAACCAGCTTTCTGGTGAGATTCCTACAGGCATCACTCATTTAAATTTTCTTGCTATCTTGGATTTGTCGAATAACAACTTGGCCAGAAAAATTCCATCAAGTACTCAACTTCAGAGCTTTGATGCCTCCGCTTATGCTGGAAATCATGAACTTTGTGGGCTTCCGCTTCCAAATAAGTGCCCCGCAGATGAAATACCTCTTGATCCTTCTGTTACCAATCTCGCTCGAGGACGTGAGGATGGGTTTATAAACCGAGAATTTTATATCAGCATGGGACTAGGTTTTGGGGTTGGATTTGGTGGAGTCTCTGGCACTTTACTACTCAAACGTTCATGGGAGTATGTCTTTTTCAAGTTCTTGAACAACATAGAAGATAGACTCCATGTGACAACAATAGTGAATATGGCTAGACTGACGAGGCATCTTCAAAACTCATGGGTAAATATCTCATTTGGCTTTTCTGAATTAGCTGCCCTTTTACTGCAATTTTGTTTTTGTATTAGCTAAAATTTCAATACTTAAATGACACTATATAACACTTCAAATTGGTTCTATGTGACAACAACAGTGATTGTCTCCAGATTGAGTAGCAAGCTTCAGAGCTATATGGTTAGATTTCCTTTGATTTTTCTGAAATAGCAATTTCACTCCTTCAATTTGTTTTTGCATTAGCCAAATGTACACTACTTGAAAGAGACTCTTTATGACACTTTAAATCTAGTCATAAAAAGTACCACATTAATAAATAAAAAAAAGAAAGAATAATAGTTATAGTTTCTCTGTTTATAAGCTAATATTGGCCACTGAATTTCACATTGATTAAACCGATTGCTAAACTTGTTTATGTTGCTCTATTGTTTTTCATTTTAGTGGTAGTGTTCGGTACTTGAATAACACTCTTTATAGCACACAAAGTGTACTCATCAAAAGTGCCACAACAAAAAATAAAACAAAAATAAATAATTAAACAAATTTAGCGTCCTCTACTTGTAAATTAATGTTGGCTGGTTAATTTCATGTTGATTAATTTAATCCATTGCTAATGTTTTTCATATTATTCTTTTGTTTTGCATTTTTGATGGAAGCCACTTCAGCTAAGACACGAGCTTTTGTTCCTCTTTGCAATAAGTTCCTGCAAGGCGAGGCCCACTTTTGCATACCTGTTTCAGCTGTCTCCTCTCTATTTCTTAAAGAATGTAATTTTATAAATATTCTCGGTGTTGCTTCTTCTGAAATTAGTTTTGGTGTTGGACTATTTGGATGACGAATGGACTTCGTGGTTCACTGCCTGATAATTATCTCAACATTTTCATGCTTGAGGGAATTGTATCTTGCTGACTAATCAATTGAGTGGGTCATTGCCAGGAAGTTTGGTACAACTTTTCACTCTTGTTTTGCTAGTCTTGTCCCGTAATTTCCTAATCTAGTAACTGCATTTTCTTCATTGAAAGAGTTGGTACTTGCAAACAATTATGTTGTGCCCGGGATTTTTTGGTTATTATTCGGGTATTTTTATTTATTTATTATTTTTCATGCATTGGGATGCGTCCTATGTGAGTTACGGGGTCCGGTTGGACCGTTTCGCTGGATTTGAAATCGTTAGAAACTTATCTGGATTCAATTTGGACATTTTTGGGTCTTGAACCAAGAGGTCCCATGTGGATTCAGGGCAGCCCAATTGCGCGTGAATGACGGGGTCTAAGTGTAAGATCCTTTGAGGGTATCATTATTATATATATATAATTTTTTTCTTTATTTTGGTGGCCCTAACCTTCAAATTGGTGGAGTTTTAAGTGGAGTCAAGTTTAGGGTTTTGCTCTTCAAGAGGTAGGAATTTCTAATGCCTCAAACTTTGTCTTTTCATTGAGTATTCTTGCCGTGATTTCCCTTCATTTCATTCTAGAAAGTGAAATTGTGTGGCTTTGCACTAGCCCATCTTGGTATTGGCTTAAAATGTTTCAGACGTATTATTTCACCTTTTCTTTACAAAACAATGCTTCTCACTGGCAGTCGTTCAATTTTCCCTAAAACAATATGTCTCCTACTTTGTCTTTATTGCATTCCAAAACCCATTTACAGTCTCACATTTTCTCTCTGCTTCACTCATATCTCGGCCAGTAGTGTATAATCCCGTTCGATTATCAAGTATATCCAGGCTTTGATCATTGGGTGGTCGGTTTTCTCTAACACAAAAGCAAAAAGGAAGAGAAAAGTCTTTTTTATTGATTTTCAAATTTCATTTTAAACGTAGATAATTATCCATACATTTCCAATACATTTCCAAGTGTGCATGCATATTGTTAAATTATATGTAATTTCTTTGAAATAGTAAATATAATATTTAAATGTCATTAGGTCTTTTTAGAACTATAATCGGATCTATGATACGATTATGATGTGATACTAATTCCTTTATAAATCTTTCCGGCAATGTTATATATTTTATAAATGTTCTATTTTATGTAAATTCATTTTTTATTCTTATTTTTCTATTTTGTAAGACTTGTACGAAGCTTATCTTTGAATACCACCTGATTGGTATCCGATACGCTGCGACTGAGTCACATTGCTAGCCCCATTTAGGCTCAGTTTGGTAGAGTGGAAATGGGAAGAAAGGAAAGGAAAGGAAAGGAAAGGTGATGGAGGGTGATTAAAAAATTGTGTTTGGATATAATTGGTGGAAAGAAAGGGAAGGGTTTGGAGGGTTAACACAAGGCTTCTACAGTAGATTTCTTAACCTCCCAAAAATTGGCGAAAACGGAAGGAAAGGAAAGGAGAGGCTTGGTAAGCGATTTCTTATGCCTGATTTGCCCTTGATTACACACAAAACCCATACGTACAAGTTAGCAGTTGCACAGAGAGAGAGGGGGGCAAGCTTGAGAGTTGAGAGAAAGAGGGCCGGCTGAAGCTTGCAAATAGCGAACACGAATTGGAAGGGCGATGGAAACTGAAATTGGGTTTTGATATGGCTGAAATTGGGTTTTGATTTTTTGAACAATCTGAAATGATGTTGATATGGGTTTTGTAGTTTTGATTCTTGCAGACAAATATATAAACTGAAAGAAATGGGTTTTGAATTTCTGATTCTTGTATTTGCAGTTGTAGAGAGAGAGAGAGAGAAAGGGCAAGTTCAAAGTTAGGACGAGCATAGAGATGGAGGCAGGGAGGCTAAAATGATTTGCCCTAAAAATATTATATATATATTACATACGTTTTGTTATAGGTGTTTTTTTTTTTTTTGCAAATATTACATACTTAAATTTATAAATTTTTCTTTTAAAAATTAAAAGGGTATAATAGTAAATTTACTAAAATACTTCCCTTTCCTTTCTTTTCTCAAACATAATCATTATCATTTCCTTTCTTTTCCTTCATTAACCAACCAAACACGACAGAGGGTTAAAATTATCCTGCCCTTCCCTTCCCCTCATAACTAATGTTATCATCCCCCTTCAAACCCACCGTACCAAACATAGCCTTAATGACCTATATTGTGACTTGTAAATGTATTCTGGCCTAATGATTATTAATTTTTAAAGGGTGATTTATTGTGTATTTATTTATTTATTGCATTAAATATATCAACTTAATAAGGGTTTCGTGGGTTGCAACTTACCATCATTGGGGTGACAATTTAGCATTGTCAATTATAAGTTTGCTTCCTAGTTTGCCAGACCAGAATGGTCACTTGGGATGCCACTTACCCTATTATGAATGCTGTAGGTGTACTTGGATCACTGTTATAGACATTTGAAATAAAAATGTATTAGAAAGTATCCAAAAGGGGAACACATTCTAAAGGTTACACAAAGGCCAAAGGCCAAAAGCCAAGAGAGCCTTAGGACCCAAAAACCCCAAGATATCAACTAATTCCTCTATAGATCTACAATTTCTCCACATAACCCAACAAAAAAACGAGCTAACAATAAGAGATTTTAAAGACCCAATAGAAGATTTCTCTCCATCAAAGGACCTTCTATTATGCTTCTTCCATAGACACCACCAAATGCACGAGGGCGCCACCCTCCAATCGTGGGTTCCCACAAGGCATCCTATCCAAGCATCAATCAAGCCTCTTGAAGACCGAGGCATGACCCACTAAACTCCAAACAAGCCAAAAAGAAGACCTCAACAATCGTAGGCCTAGGGACAACTCTCCAACTATCAGTATTTTATTGTAACTGGTCATCAATATTTTCTTGGTTGGTTTTTAAATGAACAAGAAATTTAAATTTTAATCTAATTTTTTTTTTTTTTTTTTTTTTTGATAAGTACAGATATATTAGAAAAACGTTCAAAAGGGGAACGCATTCCTAATACAGAAAAACGAAAAGCAGAAGCCAAACCTACGGACCAATAGAGTCCAATAGAACAAAAAAATCATCAATCGAGGAGCAAGCGCTGCCTCTAACATAACAGGAAAGAGAGCGTAGAATAAGAGACTTAAGGTTTGCAAAAGACGATTACTTCCCTTCAAAGTGTCTGTTATTTCTCTCTCTCCAAATACACCACCAAATACAGTGTGGGGCAATTCTCCAAAAATCACGAGCATGACTAGAAACAGGACATCTTCTCCAAGCATTAATTAATTGGAAAGAGTGCTTAGGCATTACCCACTGAACACCCAAAATGCCGAATATGAGATTTCAGCAATCAGTTGCAACAAGACAGTGCATAAGGAGATGGTCCACGGACTCACCATCAGTTTTACAAAGGCAGCAACAGTTAACAATGATAGTACCTCTCTTACGCAAATTATCCAAAGTTAGAATTTTTCCCCAGGTAGCTGTCCAAACAAAGAAGGCAACTCTAAGAGGAGTTTTAGATCGCCAAATACACTTCCATGGGAAATCATGTTTAATAAAATTAGACAAACATAAGAACATGGATCGAACTTCGAATCTACCATGAAGAGAGGGGGTCCACAAAATATCATCGCAACCTCTGCCAACATCCTGCTGTATATACAACAGGTCCAAAAAGACACAAACTTCAGCTATCTCCCAATCCTAAAAAGAACGCTTAAACCACACATCCCACGTAACTCCACTGTTATCAAGATGATAACAGTCAATAACGTAAGCATGCTTATTCTCGGCAATGCTAAAGAGACGAGAAAAGGAAAGAGACGACAACTGATCACCACACCATAAGTCTTCCCAAAATCTAACATACCTACCATTTCGAATCTTGAACCGAATATGGGTGGAAAACACATCCCAACCTTTACGAATAAATTTCCAAACGCCAACGCCCCTGGTAACAGAAACAAGACGGGAGGACCAACCTCCACTCTCCTCCCCAAAACGACACGAGATAACTCTTCTCCATTGACGATGACGCTCTTTACCGAATCTCCATAACCACTTCTCCAGTAAGGCTCTATTGAAAGGGACCAACTTCCGGATACTTAAACCGCCAAAATTCAACGGTTTACAGACCTGCTCCCAATTAACAAGATGATACTTAAACTCCTCTCCTTTTCCACCCCAAAGAAAATCTCTCTGAATTTTTTCGATTCGTTCAGCAACAGAGCACGGGATCTGAAACAGAGATAAGAAATATGTGGGAAGGGACGAAAGAGTGCTCTTAATAAGAGTGACCTTCCCTCCTTTTGAGAGATACTGTTTTTTTCAACCCGTCAATCTTTTTTCATACTTGTTAATCACCGGATCCCAAGTCCCCACTATCCTGGAGGAGATTCTCAAAGGTAATCCCAAATAAGGAAGTGGAAAATCACCCACTCCACACCCAAGAACAACGGCTAAAGTGGAAATATCGGAGACCTCCCCCATTGGGACAAGCACACTCTTTCCAACATTAATCTTAAGGCCAGACGCTGCTTGGAAACATGTAAGAATGCACCTCAAATACCTGAGTTGGGAAACATTAGCATCATAGAAAACCAAAGTGTCATCTGCGAACAACGAATGGGATATCTTAATCTGGTTAGCAACATCTTTGCCAATAGTGAACCCCCTTATATAACCCAAATTCTCTGCCTTTTTCATTAATCTACTCAGTCCCTCCATGATAATAAGGAAAAGAAAAGACGACAAAGGATCTTCTTGTCTCAATCCACGCGAACTCCGAAAAAAACCTGCAGGAGAGCCGTTCACAAGCACACAGAATATCACTGAAGAGATACAATATTCAATCCATTTTATCCATCGATCCCCGAACCCCATTCTCCGAAGCAAGTAAAGAAGAAATTTCCAATTCACGTGATCATAAGCTTTCTCGATATCAAGTTTGCATAATACACCAAGAACTTCATTCTTCAACCTGGAATCGACACATTCTCCTGCAATAAGAACGGAATCTAAAATCTGTCTGCCGCCAACAAAAGCATTTTGTGACTCTGAAATGATTCCATCAAAAACATTTCACATTCTAAGAACAAAGACCTTGGCAATAAGCTTATACATACACCACACTAAACTGATTGGCCGAAAATCCTTAATGTTAGAGGCATTGCTCTTCTTAAGAATAAGAGCAATGAAAGATGCATTTAATGATTTCTCAAATGTGCCATGAGAATGAAATTCCTGAAAAGTGCCCATTACCTCATTATGCACCACCTCCCAGCTCTCTTTAAGAAACTGCATAGTGAATCCGTCTGGTCCTGGAGCTTTATCACCATTACAACTGGATAACGCCTTAAGAACTTCCTCTTCAGAGAACAGAACCTCAAGTATATCACTATCCAGCGTAGAAATAGCATCAAAATGCAAACCATCAAGTTTTGGTCTCCATTCCAAAGTCTCAGTGTAGAGCTGTTGATAAAAAGAAACAATAACCCTACGTATCTCGTCTTCTTTCCACAACTATGTACCATTCACACGAATACGCCCAATATTATTGTATCTTCTATAAGCGTTAGCAAGTCTGTGAAAGAATTTAGTGTTATGATCACCTTCTTTAAGCCACAAAGCCCGAGATTTCTGACGCCACGATATCTCCTCCATAGTAGCAATCTCAGCAAAAGTCGCCTAACAAAACGCTCTTCTAGAGCGTAGAGAATCCGTATCTTGCCCTATCTCATCAAGACGATCAAGTTCAGCGATATCAGTTAGGACTCTATTTTTCTTCCATTCAAGATTACCAAACACTTCTTTATTCCACTTCTTAAGCTCAGATTTGAGAATCTGAAACTTCTTAGCAAGCACATAGCTAGTAAAGCCAGTAAACGTTGTTGTTTCCCACCAGGACTGGACCTTCTCTTGGAAGTCCTCAACTCTCAACCACATATTTTCGAAACGAAATGGAGTCCGTCTAGATCTCATACCTCCACAATCAAGAACTAAGGGCACATGATCAGATGTGACTCGAACCAAAGCTGATTGCGTGACATCCGGGAACTTCTCCTCCTAATCTCCAGAAATCAGGAATCTATCAAGCCTCGATAAAGTAACTGGGTCTCTGCCGCTAGACCAGGTGAAAGTTGCCCCTTCCAAAGGCAAATCAATAAGAAGGTTACCATCAATAAAGTAAGAGAACTGGGTCATCTCGGAAGACCACCTCCCCCCTGTGGATCTTTCAAATGGAGACCGAACAGAATTGAAATCCCCGCCTAAGCACCAAGGCAACGACCACAAGTCCTTAATGTAGCTAAGTTCCTGCCAAAAAGCAGGTCTATCACAATCAATAACTGGTCCATAAACTCCAAAAAATACCCAACTGAAGTTATCATCTTCCATTTGAAACACACAAGACAAAGAGAATAACCCTTTCCAGGTACTCGTTCTGGACATCCATCTAAGGTCCTACATAATAAGAATGCCGCCTGATGCACCATAGGCGTTCAAGGCTTCCCAATCCACAAACCTACTTCCCCAAAGGCTTCTAACCACATAATCAGAAATAGAAGCTAACTTAGATTCTTGCAAACAAATAACATGGGCATTCCCCTTCTTCAAAGCAACTTTTACCACCATTCTTTTGTCCGGATCATTTAATCCACGGACATTCCATGTAATAATTCGTATCTTCATTGAGAACCGAAAATAATCAGTGCCCCTCCTCCCTGCTTCCCACTTCTAGTCCTTCCCCTTTCTTTATTCACCCCATTCTTCCCTTCATAATTAACATTGGAAATAAGGTTCTTGACCTCCTGATCACCTTTCCGATTTGTATGTTTTCTATTTTTAACAACTTTTGTGTGTTTAAAGGTCTCTGCATTATTGTTTCCTGCCATAATATTATGAAGAATGGTTTGTATTCGATCATCATCTCCTTCCGATGAGACACCCAAAGCTTTACTGACCTCGCCAATATTCTCCAACACCCAGTCCATACCCAAGTCGTTAACCGTCTCTAAACAATCAGGGTGCACAGTTGCTAAGGGTTCCATAATGTCCACATCAGATTTATCAATATCGCAGGCTAGAGGACAAATCTGTTTAGACTGATCATCAAAGTCCTCCCCTTTGCTTTCAACATTGTTCTGATACAAGTTTAAATGCAGATTTAACTCTGTTCCAGGGTCATCCATAAGATTTGTCATTAAATCTTAGGTAGAATTCGTCCCAGTCACGGAGGGTAAGCCATTGAAGCCTTTTAGAGCAACACAGAGCTTAAGTTCATTAAGTAAAGTCACGGCTAGATCATCTGTCAGCTTAAAATGAAGGTCTCATCCAACACAAACTGTCACTTCGTTGGAACACTCCATACTTCCGAACTTGGTCATTTAAGACAATGATTCGGCATCCCATGGTACAATAGCTTCAGAAAAATCTCTCTTTTGATCCAAACGATCCTCCGCTCCACCTTCACCATTTCCCAACACGTTACTCATAGAAGGGGAAGAAGATGAGCTCTTCGGATGAGAGACAGAGGTCAGACCTGGAGAAGGAGAAAGAGAGCGTACTACCCATTTCTATTTTTCAGTATATGTCCATCAAGGTCGACTACCTGAGACAACCGGCTATCTTCGCTTTTTTTTCTCAGTCTGATGGTGAAATGATGAAGATGAGAGAGTTAGATTTTGGGCTTGAGTTTGAACCTAGGCTTTCCTTGGATCTGATTCGTTAAGAACTGCAACAGAAAATGAGTTGGGTCCTCTAAGAACCCGTCTTTTAGTGTGGGCTGGCTTAGGCCCAAAATCAGGCTTGAACCTTAACGCTTTAGTTTGCCCATAACTCCTCCGGCCCAAATCAACTTTAGGCTAAGCTATGTGGCCCAACCCAGCGTCCTCACCAACCCTTGTAGATAAGGATAATGTCGAATCTGGAAGAGAGCCTATACGAGTGCCACATGTAAAATTATTCTTATCAGTAAAAACGCGCGTGACCAGCGCGTGTCGTTGGCTCGATCTTCCTCGCACCCATACTTCCTCCAGCTTATGATTAGGTCCATCCCAGCCTTCAATACTCTCTGTCGAGGGGACCAATGTCGGCACAATTTCTTCCCAAAACGCCACCTTGTAGCAGAAAATGTCATCATTAATAAACACAAATGGCGGACAGGTCGATCCTATTCTCACTGTAATCTGAACACTTTCGGTGTCCCTTGTTTAATCGGTAACAACTCCCACAAAACCGCTGCATAACTCCCCTACTTCAACAAATAGAGCATGACACCATAAGTGAAGGGGAAGTCCAAACAGCTGGATCTGTTTGAGACCTTTTTCTCTAAAGACACCACAACATCCGACCCTAAAAGACCACACATTGAGCCGTAGGGTTGCAGATCCCCAATGACGCTGTCCTTCCTTCAACACACGTTATGCTTCGGCCTGAGAAGGAAACCTGAAAAGGAGCATCGAATCTGATAATGGAGTAACCCCCACACCAAAGGACGTATTCCATGCTTTCGCCACCCATTCTTCCACACAATCACATCCCCCAACTTCTTTATCAAAACGACCAACCAAGCAAGACAAAAGTACTGATTTCCTCCCTTTAACGGACTTCCCATCGATGTACAGTGATGGTCCTCGATGCGAAACAGCCAACTTCACATTCCCAGTTAAAGAAATTCTCAGGATCCTTGTAGTTTCTAAGTAAGATTTCATCGCAGATAAAACAAAGAAGAAAGAAAAAATAAAGAAAAGGACAAAGTCACTATCGTATTGGAATCGCCCCTAGTGGGGTGAAATCGCCCATAGTGCACTTTGCCACGTCTTGGTTTGATAAGTAAGAAATACAAGAAATTTTTTTTTAAGCTAAAAATTTGAAAGCAAAAGATTGTTATTAGGAGGGAAGGGAAAATGTTATATGATTTTCGGAAGATTGTTATTAGGAGGGAAGGGAAAATTTTATATGATTTTCGGACTCCAGTTAGAAGCTTGTTGAGGTAGAACCTTTTTTTCATCACAATCATCCTCTCCTTTATCCCATAGAAATGGGGTCGGCCACATGAATTCTTTTTTTTCACTCTTTCCAATTATACACCATGGTTTCGACCTATTTTTCATGTAATATCTTAATACTCCAGCTAGATCCCAATTATTCGGTTGAAGTTTGCCCTTCATACAAATTGTTTCTATTATTTATTTGAAACAATCTTCAAGGAATAATGACTTCTGAGAACACTAGTGATAATTTTTAATGTTTTTCCAGGTAAGCAAAACTTTCAGGTAAATGATGATTTTTGGTCTGAGTTGAGTGGAGAGTTGGGAACATCTCCTGTGATGAAGCTCACATAAGAGAAACTATGCATGTGGCTCTAACATTGGCTGCATAGAAACCAGTGTTAATGACTTTTGGAATATTGATGTCGTTGCTCTCAAGGTTCCTCCCCAATGGATGCCATGGTAACACTACTAGTGCTACTACTTTCTTTATTCTTCACGGTTAATTACTTTATAATCAATTAAGCAACTAGTTGCTCTGTTTTTGGGCTTTCTTTTGCTTGCCAGCTGCTGGTTTTAATTTTTTTTTTTTTTTTTGTTAGCCTTAGTTCTGGCTTATTTACTTTATCTGGGCACTACTGCTTGTCAGACTTACTACATATTCTTCAACTTCTTATTATGGGTCCAACTATGTACAGAACTAATGCAGGAAACAATTGAAAAACCTATTTGCTTAACAATTAAAAGAAATAAAATTGAAACCTAAAAAGTTTAGTCATAAGAACTAAACCGAGTGTACTTGGGCAAACCTTATAAGGGACTATTAATTGATTGATGTGGCAGGTTGGCTAAGTTCCATAGTCATAAGAACTGAAATTGTTAAGAATTGTTAGAAATGACCACCGGCTCTAAAATTAAAGATTGACTGATAGAAATAATGAGAAGATAATTAAGGCATCTGAGCTATGGCAGCATTGTTAAATGTAAAAAGTTGGACAAATATTGACATACCTTGGTAGAGGTACATTGTTAAGTTTCACCAAAAGATGATCTTTTTGCAGTTGTCTTAATTTTTATAATTCATTCATTTAAAATTCTAGACTACACTGAAAACTTTTGCGTGGATGTGGAATTTATCACTTCGAATGCGGTAGAACTAAAGCATATTGAAGTAATGCTGTGTTGGGAAGTCATAACAAGTTCCAAAAATTGGATCTTAGAATTTGGAATTACAGTCTTCAAATACTTTAATCATAGGAAACTACCTCTCTGCACTCCTCCATTTCTACCCACCGGGTATCAACTCTGAAAGGCTTCTTCCATTGCCTCTACCAACCCATCTCAAATCCACCAATAATGCCATATGATCCAGACCTAAAACTTTGATGTGGTGAAGGATAGATTCCAGATAACAGTCCAACCAACCCCTATTGCTCAATGCTCTGTCCAAATCGTAAAATTTCATATTGATTTCATATTGATTTATGTAACAAACAAAATAGAAATAGTCCTTTGAGAACTCCTTTTGTTATACCATTTATGATCTATAATATTTGAATTTGAAGAACTTATATAATGTACTTTTTGTTTTCTGGATCAAAAGATATTGATGAGTGCAAAGGTCCAAAGAAGAATGTTTGTCCAAAGGGTTCTCTTTGCAACAACACAGGAGGTAGCTACTCATGCACGTGCCCACCAGGTTTCTATAGCGTTCAGGGAAATGGAATTGGATGCATACCGGACCAAGGGAGACCATCATTAGTTCTAATTATTGCTTTAGGTACAATTTTTTGCTATTCTCTTATACCTTCCTCTCCATGAAATTGTGCTCATCTTTTCTGCACATGCAGGCATTGGAATTACTATTGGGATTCTGGTCTTAATTGCTATTGGTATATGGTGGCACCGACGGCGATGAAGATAGGCTGGTAACGGAGGAACAGCGGTGAACTCGGCTGGTTCGAATGGTGGTGGAAAAGGAAGCTTCCCTCTTTGAAGTCTTTGAGAGATCCCACGGTGACTGGTCTTTGTGATACTCCCAGATTTCCGAATACGGGTTGGCTAGGCCTACGCCTGAATACCCGAGGATATCAAAAACGAATCGGCAATAATCGAATACAAAATACAAATATGATAAATAAGAATAAATAAAATGCTGTAAAGAAACTAAAATGACAATCCAATAATTAATCCTCAGAATAAATTTTCATTAAATAATAACTTATTTCGATATAACCAATACTCCAAACTAATACAACTCCGGAATTCATACTATGTGGACCCCTAGAAAATTCCAACTGAACAAGTGACGACAATAAATGTCTACATCAGAACACTAAAACATAAAAGAAACTCCTATGTAGATAATCTGAAAGAGTGAAGTAGATCGATCCCTGCTCAGCACGAACAACCTCTACTCCTGACGAACACCTGAAAAATAATAGTGGGTCAAGCCCACAAACAAGTTCTACTCTACTATAATCTAAGCAGAGATCCGATACACACATACATGCTAGTCAATCCAACAATAACAAGTAGTCCGTAGATATACACACACACACACACACACTAAAGGAACCTCACCAGACTATAGGGTTGTCTCAACCTGAATAGAAGGCAACATGCAAAACGTACATATAGTGG